TCCACCTCTCTGAAATCCCAGATGCTAAAGGGAGCGCCCATGCCATCCAATCACCCCTGCCTGAGCTCTCCCAGGGATGACAGCAGGTCAGAGCCAGATTCCGGGGTGTTCGTTCCTGTTCTGAGGCAGCAGATTCCTTCAGACCTTCCTGAGGTCCTACCCTTGACCCCGGAACTTACTCTGACACCCTCCCCTATGGTCACCGAGGTCATGCACTACACACACACACACACACACTCACATACACACCCCCTTAGTTATTAGGGCCAAATTGAGGGGTACGCATAGTTGTGGAAGGAGCTCTGGGAGCGTAGTGGTTACGATTTGGGCTGCTAACCTCAGGGTCATCAGTTCGAAACTACCAGCCTTCCGCAGGAGAAAGATGAGGCTTTCTGCTCCCGTAAAGATTTACAACCTCGGAAACCCTGTACAGGATCGCTATGAGTCGGAAGCGACTCCACGGCACATAACAACAACAACAACATAGTTGTGGAGCAATCGCGAGGCCTGCTGGGTAAGATAGCAGGGCCCAGTCCTCTGGGGGCCTCTCTGCCCAGCCATCCATCGGGGCTCCCTCAAAGGCCCTCACCTGGAAGCCGGGCTGGATCTGGATTCTAGGCCGAAAGCCCTCACACCAGCGTCACCGCCAAGACTCCAGACCGGAAGTAGGGAAACATCACATCCGGCCCCCTCTCCCTCTGCCCCGCCCTCTCCGCCCCTGTCAGTCCAGGGGTCTCCCAGGGCTGTTAGCAGGGTCAGGCCCCTTTGTGTGTGCATGGGATCAGTCTGTGCAGGCTGTGGGGCACCATCTGTGTCCCTAAAAGCATCCACTATCTTCTGACAGCTCCCTGGCACCCAAGACAAGGAAGTGTGTTGGGGGGGAAAGTCTCTGCGTGACAGCCTCCTGGCCCAGGGTCTCCGTGGGCTGACACCAGGGTCTGGGAAAGACTTGGGCAGTCTCTGCTCTGGAGCTGCGGGGCCCCTCGATTTTCCCTCAGGTCCTCACCTTGGCTCCTGGCAGAGCCAGGAACCCCCTTTGCTCTGTGGACCTGAGTTTAGTCGTCCTGAGACCCCTGAGGGAGGGACCAAGGTGGACCCCTCAGTCCTCTCCAAGGGTCCACACTTGACAGCCTTGCAGGGACAAGCCCCTCTCCACTCTGTTTACTTGAAGCTGGCCCCTTCAGACCAGGAACCTACTTCGCTGAGATGTCTAAGAAGGAAGTGAAGGAGGGATTGTCTAAGAAAACAGCCTCCTTGGGGCCACCCTGCGTGGAAAGCGGGAGCAGGGCTGGATTCTGTGGGTTACCTTCATCTCTTCCTCAGGACTCTCCCTCCTGGGACCAACATCCAAATCCAGGACACCAAGTCCCTACCTCCCTGAGATCCCTAAGAAGGAAGGTAAGTGGGATTTGCTTAGCTACACAGATCTG